CTTTGAGCCTATGTATCTCATTTTCTGTGAAAGATATCAAAAAGTGGCTAACTAGTAAGATGTTGCTGATATCCTGATAAACATTTTACTAGTTAACCACTTTTTGATATCTTTCAAAAGAAGTGAGATATATAGGCTCAAAGTGGACGATCCGGGTGTCGTTCTATTAGAGGTTTTACGGTATCTCTTATTTCCTAATTACCCCCAGTTTCTTATTCATTAAATCCTATATTTTCTTGCCATCCCATACCCCACCCATATGAGTTTTAAGTAGTTGTTATTCTTTTAAGTTTTCTAAGTCCCGTCTACCCATCCCATGTTTTCATTAATTGTGATTTTGTGCCCTTTAATCATTGAGCTGAGGCAATCACCATTTTCACTCTTGCCACGTACGGGGACTCGAAAATGGACGGAGATGTACGGTATTCTACCGTGTTTTCTCTTTTAAAATCCTCTTTCCAAGTCTAAAAGAGAGAAATCTCCCCCGAACACACGTGCAAGATGTGTGGATTACTGTGTCCGCGCGCGAAACTGTGTGCGCGCCAAAACGCGTCTCCTCTCTCGGCAAATTCTCATCGTTTTCTTTATTTTTCGCTAGTGTTCGCTCACGATTGGTGACGACCCGTTAAAGTGTGGCTCACTGGTTTTAAAGGTTTTATAGTGGTTTATTGAGTAAATTCGATAAATAGTGTTTTATAGGAAATCTGTGTTTTGTATTCTTCTAGTCTTCAGGTTACACAGGTCTCTTTGAGTGCACAGAGGTTCTGTGAGTGCATAGCGTTTGTCTGTGGTTCTCACTTTCTCTCTGCATCTCGTTGTTTTCAATAGTGTCTTTTAGCAGTTAGTGTTTCTGGGAGTTCTTTCAGTTACATTACTAATGCAAAGGTTTCAACCTAGGTCTGTTTTACATCCTCCAAAATTTTCAAAGTGATAGAAGACTTGACAACCGAGCTTCAGGTCCCTGAAAAAGGTCAAAATCAACTGAAAAACAAGTTATTGACTAGTACTATGTCAGTTGCATCTTGTCCGTCGGCTACCCGCCGGTTGTCCGCCGGTTATCAGCTGGTTGTCCGCTGGTAGTCCGTTTTTGAAATTTTATATACTTTTTCAGTGAAATAAAAATGGTACTGTACATGAATTTCAAGAAAACATTTTTCCATGTTCCCCACCTTCAAACATCTAATTTTGCAGATCCTAAGCGCTCTGTCCGATATCCATCTCACAATCTTCATGAAACCCATCCCATTAACCCCATTATTTGCCGGATACACAGTTGGCATCATGCCAAAAAACCTAGACATTTCTGCTCACCACTGTGCAATCCTCACCGGATTCATAGCAGTTAGCCAACTCGAGACCTTGATTCTATGCTTCGCGAGAATGCACCAAGTTATTGCACTTGTACTAAACACCCATGTGGTTCCTAAATTTCTACAGTACTCTTGCTACGCATTATGTGTCTTGTGTCCAATTGCATTGTGCGGATGTATTGAACATTTTCATATCACCCAGGACCAACAATGGGATTATATATCTGAAACTTATCCAGAATTGATACCAGAGTTTCAAAAATTGACACATTTTGTGTTGTATATCAAATCTTGTAAATTAAATCATTTACTGATTGCCATGATTTTAAGTGGGATTACATTATTCGTGATTTTTGTAGTTTTCTTATTTGATATTTTCAATTTGATGGTGGATTTGAAAATTCGAAGGTCCACATCTTATTATCAAAAACATAAGGAGGCGATGCACAGCTTATTAGTGCAATTTGTAACATCTTCTATCTGTTTGGTACCTCCTTTCATGTTGGTAATTATCGTATTCTTTGAAATCCCAAATGGACAGTGTAAGTTTTTATGTTTTGGAGCCTGGTTTTCATCATTTTAGCAGCTGAAAGAAAACTGAGACTTGTTAATTTTCTTAAATTACAAATTTCCAGTGTTATCTGAAATGTTTATTGCCTGGTTTGTGAGTCATTCGTCAATCAACATGATCGGTCTGATCATTTTCTTTCCACCATATCAGATATTTTTCTTACGAGTTTTCAAGCGGTAGGCAAGACTCAATTTTCAAAATTTATCTTTCTTTTTCAGAAAAAATTCAAAGCACACAACTCCAGTGGCAGTGGTTCCTGTGGTTGCGGCGGTTTCTTCAGGATTTTGAAATAAAAAAAACCTATTTTCAAATTTATTTAAAATAAAAGAAAACATTCAAGTGGCGGAAAGATGACTGACGGAAACTGGAGCGACTATTAGATTCCCTTCGGTTGTTTTCTGAAAAAAAATGAATTTTTATTTTTTTATATTTTCATCGAACAAACCTTAAAACGAAATTCCGGTACGGCGGAGTTGTGAGAACTAGAACGACAGCATTTACAGACGAGTGTAGGGAGAAGACGGCTAGGAGGAATTGTACAATGACTGAAAAAAGCTCGAAGTATTCAATTTTTCGATTGAATTTTAAAGGACGGGCCGGCGAAGGATCACTGACGGACAACCGACGGACAGCCGGCAGAAAATCGGAGTACAACCGACTAACTACCGATGTACAGCTGACGGGCAACCGACGGACAATCGACGGACAACCGATGGACAACCAGCGGACAACCGACATACTGATAGAGAATACCCAATGGACAACTGGCTTACAACCGAAGGACAACCGACGGACAACCGGCAGTCTAAAGGCGGACAACCGACGGCCAACCAGCGGACAACCTATGGACAACCGATGGGCTACTGATAGACAACGGGCGGTCTAACAACAGTCAACCGACGGGCAACCGGCCCGGGCAACCGGGCCGGATAACCGATGGACATCCGATGGACATCCGATGGACAACCGATGGACGACCACAATCTTTTTTGGCTATCACTTCCCTTAGTGGATAACAAAGATTTCTATAAATCTAAAAGCCGCGGATTCAAATCCTAATAACCTAACAAAGTTAAAGTCATTTTTTCAACCGGCAGACAATCGGCGGACGACCAGCGGAGGGCCAGCGGACAACCCGCGGATAACCAATGAACCACCGACTACCAACTGACCCATCCAACTCAACTCACCCTGAGCATAATTCATTGAAATCCTAACTGCCACCAGATGCAAACTTGGCGGAATCAAACAAAGCGATGAAGTTGCGAATTGCGCTATTAGACTCTTCAGTGCAGCTATGTGTCTCTTGAAATTCGCACTTGAAATTTTTCGTCGAATCCGTGAATTCTTCAAAAAGTTTAACATGTCAAAAGTGGTAAAAATAAATATAAATCCACATCCGATGCCTCCAGAAAATATACCAAACGCCAGGAAATACGTCCAGGAATTGAATTCATAAACCGCGAAATTAGAGATTCTGGAGAATTCCTCATAGTATTTTAGATAGTTCTGGAACATTTTATTCTTCATTCTGGTGAGGAGAAAAAATAATGGAGCTTACATTTTTGACATAAGCCATTTGAGTGTCTCGTTTCATTCCTGTCTGGAGAAAAAGGATAAATACAGTAACTGGAGCAAACGGAAGTAACAGATGGGCCAGATCCAAAAGAAATTGCGGAACTACACGTCTATTCATGATTTTTCCAATTGTTTGATGCTTTTTGAAGAAACAATATGCCAAACTTCCAATTTGAGCCACAATTGAAGCCACGAGAAAAGCCATCAAATAATGAGCCCAAACATCAAAATAGACTGCAAGAAATCCATTACAGTAACCCCCTAACACTGGATACAAAGGAATGGGTTGCATTAGAAAAGTTATATGGAAATCTGTAATTGTACAGAATATCTGAAAACGTTCATTCTATTTAAATTTGTTTTTTGGATATTGAATTCCAAATCTACCTGAAAAATTAACAGAAAATATCGAAAATTGTCAATTTGATCAGACTTGAAAAGTATTATATAAATACACCCAGAATTAAGAAAAAATGAAATAGTACCAACTAAATGGTACCAGTTAATTAGCCAATTAGGAACAGAAAAATCAATATCGGTGCTCATATGAAATATTTGGGGTTTACTAGTTTTGTTAGGTGTGATGTGAGAAAAAAGGTGAAAGTGCGCAGGTGAAAAGAAACCAAGCTGAACAGTGACTTTATTCAATTTTCTTAATGACTTATTTATTCTGAAAACCAAGAGATATCATTAAAATTGTATCTCTTGAAACAGATGCCGTACTTCCTCTCATAGAAGCTAAACCGTCAACTATGAGCTCAATAATCTCCGTTCTTTCAGAAGATATCGAACAATTTTCAACTGATAAAATGATTATCATATTATCACCAAATTTTTACTAGTTGACAGATGTTTGATACCTCTCATAGGAACCGAGATAATTGAGATCAAACCTCTAACAAGGTGGACTTAATCAAGGCTGTGCCACGGCCGGCAGCGGCATTCTGAAAAGGGTACTTCTGTGATAGGTAACGTAGTTGGATTCCGGATTCTGAATTCCGGATTCTGGATTCCGAATTCCGGATTTTTAATTCCGGAGCACTGTATTATGCGAGACATCTAGATTATTGAGCTCATAGTTGACGGTTTAGCTTCTATGAGAGGAAGTACGGCATCTGTTTCAAGAGATACAATTTTAATGATATCTCTTGGTTTTCAGAATCAATAATTCATTAAAGGTGGGGGGACCGGAGATTTTTCGTAGTTTTTTTGTAGCTAGAGTATGCATTCTACCGTGACGGTGTACAACGCTTAATGTCACTCTGCGTACAGCTGTCGTCCTCGTCTTTATGTATGCAATCGGGCGTGCGCTTTCTCTTTGCCCGCGTGGCACAGTCGGTAGCGGCGCCGCACCCTCAATCATCACCTTCACAAGTTCAACTCCTCGAGAGGCATCTTTGAACGGAATTTCGAGAACATTATTTTTTTCATGTCCCCCCACCTTTAAGAAAATTGAATAAAGTCACTGTTCAGCTTGGTTTCTTTTCACCTGCGCAATTTCACCTTTTTTTCTCACATCACACCTAACAAAACTAGTAAACCCCAAATATTTCATATGAGCACCGATATTGATTTTTCTGTTCCTAATTGGCTAATTAACTGGTACCATTTAGTTGGTACTATTTCATTTTTTCTTAATTCTGGGTGTATTTATATAATACTTTTCAAGTCTGATCAAATTGACAATTTTCGATATTTTCTGTTAATTTTTCAGGTAGATTTGGAATTCAATATCCAAAAAAACAAATTTAAATAGAATGAACGTTTTCAGATATTCTGTACAATTACAGATTTCCATATAACTTTTCTAATGCAACCCATTCCTTTGTATCCAGTGTTAGGGGGTTACTGTAATGGATTTCTTGCAGTCTATTTTGATGTTTGGGCTCATTATTTGATGGCTTTTATCGTGGCTTCAATTGTGGCTCAAATTGGAAGTTTGGCATATTGTTTCTTCAAAAAGCATCAAACAATTGGAAAAATCATGAATAGACGTGTAGTTCCGCAATTTCTTTTGGATCTGGCCCATCTGGGACTTCCGTTTGCTCCAGTTACTGTATTTATCCTTTTTCTCCAGACAGGAATGAAACGAGACACTCAAATGGCTTATGTCAAAAATGTAAGCTCAATTATTTTTTCTCCTCACCAGAATGAAGAATAAAATGTTCCAGAACTATCTAAAATACTATGAGGAATTCTCCAGAATCTCTAATTTCGCGGTTTATGAATTCAATTCCTGGACGTATTTCCTGGCGTTTGGTATATTTTCTGGAGGCATCGGATGTGGATTTATATTTATTTTTACCACTTTTGACATGTTAAACTTTTTGAAGAATTCACGGATTCGACGAAAAATTTCAAGTGCGAATTTCAAGAGACACAAAGCTGCACTGAAGAGTCTAATAGCGCAATTCGCAACTTCATCGCTTTGTTTGATTCCGCCAACTTTGTATCTGGTGGCAGTTATGAGTTCAATTAATTATGCTCAGGGTGAGTTGAGTTGGATGGGTCAGTTGGTAGTCGGTGGTTCATTGGTTATCCGCGGGTTGTCCGCTGGCCCTCCGCTGGTCGTCCGCCGATTGTCTGCCGGTTGAAAAAATGACTTTAACTTTGTTAGGTTATTAGGATTTGAATCCGCGGCTTTTAGATTTATAGAAATCTTTGTTATCCACTAAGGGAAGTGATAGCCAAAAAAGATTGTGGTCGTCCATCGGTTGTCCATCGGATGTCCATCGGATGTCCATCGGTTATCCGGCCCGGTTGCCCGGGCCGGTTGCCCGTCGGTTGACTGTTGTTAGACCGCCCGTTGTCTATCAGTAGCCCATCGGTTGTCCATAGGTTGTCCGCTGGTTGGCCGTCGGTTGTCCGCCTTTAGACTGCCGGTTGTCCGTCGGTTGTCCTTCGGTTGTAAGCCAGTTGTCCATTGGGTATTCTCTATCAGTATGTCGGTTGTCCGCTGGTTGTCCATCGGTTGTCCGTCGATTGTCCGTCGGTTGCCCGTCAGCTGTACATCGGTAGTTAGTCGGTTGTACTCCGATTTTCTGCCGGCTGTCCGTCGGTTGTCCGTCAGTGATCCTTCGCCGGCCCGTCCTTTAAAATTCAATCGAAAAATTGAATACTTCGAGCTTTTTTCAGTCATTGTACAATTCCTCCTAGCCGTCTTCTCCCTACACTCGTCTGTAAATGCTGTCGTTCTAGTTCTCACAACTCCGCCGTACCGGAATTTCGTTTTAAGGTTTGTTCGATGAAAATATAAAAAAATAAAAATTCATTTTTTTTCAGAAAACAACCGAAGCGGAATCTAATAGTCGCTCCAGTTTCCGTCAGTCATCTTTCCGCCACTTGAATGTTTTCTTTTATTTTAAATAAATTTGAAAATAGGTTTTTTTTATTTCAAAATCCTGAAGAAACCGCCGCAACCACAGGAACCACTGCCACTGGAGTTGTGTGCTTTGAATTTTTTCTGAAAAAGAAAGATAAATTTTGAAAATTGAGTCTTGCCTACCGCTTGAAAACTCGTAAGAAAAATATCTGATATGGTGGAAAGAAAATGATCAGACCGATCATGTTGATTGACGAATGACTCACAAACCAGGCAATAAACATTTCAGATAACACTGGAAATTTGTAATTTAAGAAAATTAACAAGTCTCAGTTTTCTTTCAGCTGCTAAAATGATGAAAACCAGGCTCCAAAACATAAAAACTTACACTGTCCATTTGGGATTTCAAAGAATACGATAATTACCAACATGAAAGGAGGTACCAAACAGATAGAAGATGTTACAAATTGCACTAATAAGCTGTGCATCGCCTCCTTATGTTTTTGATAATAAGATGTGGACCTTCGAATTTTCAAATCCACCATCAAATTGAAAATATCAAATAAGAAAACTACAAAAATCACGAATAATGTAATCCCACTTAAAATCATGGCAATCAGTAAATGATTTAATTTACAAGATTTGATATACAACACAAAATGTGTCAATTTTTGAAACTCTGGTATCAATTCTGGATAAGTTTCAGATATATAATCCCATTGTTGGTCCTGGGTGATATGAAAATGTTCAATACATCCGCACAATGCAATTGGACACAAGACACATAATGCGTAGCAAGAGTACTGTAGAAATTTAGGAACCACATGGGTGTTTAGTACAAGTGCAATAACTTGGTGCATTCTCGCGAAGCATAGAATCAAGGTCTCGAGTTGGCTAACTGCTATGAATCCGGTGAGGATTGCACAGTGGTGAGCAGAAATGTCTAGGTTTTTTGGCATGATGCCAACTGTGTATCCGGCAAATAATGGGGTTAATGGGATGGGTTTCATGAAGATTGTGAGATGGATATCGGACAGAGCGCTTAGGATCTGCAAAATTAGATGTTTGAAGGTGGGGAACATGGAAAAATGTTTTCTTGAAATTCATGTACAGTACCATTTTTATTTCACTGAAAAAGTATATAAAATTTCAAAAACGGACTACCAGCGGACAACCAGCTGATAACCGGCGGACAACCGGCGGGTAGCCGACGGACAAGATGCAACTGACATAGTACTAGTCAATAACTTGTTTTTCAGTTGATTTTGACCTTTTTCAGGGACCTGAAGCTCGGTTGTCAAGTCTTCTATCACTTTGAAAATTTTGGAGGATGTAAAACAGACCTAGGTTGAAACCTTTGCATTAGTAATGTAACTGAAAGAACTCCCAGAAACACTAACTGCTAAAAGACACTATTGAAAACAACGAGATGCAGAGAGAAAGTGAGAACCACAGACAAACGCTATGCACTCACAGAACCTCTGTGCACTCAAAGAGACCTGTGTAACCTGAAGACTAGAAGAATACAAAACACAGATTTCCTATAAAACACTATTTATCGAATTTACTCAATAAACCACTATAAAACCTTTAAAACCAGTGAGCCACACTTTAACGGGTCGTCACCAATCGTGAGCGAACACTAGCGAAAAATAAAGAAAACGATGAGAATTTGCCGAGAGAGGAGACGCGTTTTGGCGCGCACACAGTTTCGCGCGCGGACACAGTAATCCACACATCTTGCACGTGTGTTCGGGGGAGATTTCTCTCTTTTAGACTTGGAAAGAGGATTTTAAAAGAGAAAACACGGTAGAATACCGTACATCTCCGTCCATTTTCGAGTCCCCGTACGTGGCAAGAGTGAAAATGGTGATTGCCTCAGCTCAATGATTAAAGGGCACAAAATCACAATTAATGAAAACATGGGATGGGTAGACGGGACT